TTTCCAACTTCAGTAACATGTTATGGTATTACAGCTGTGAAATTACAAACAAAAAATACACATTCTGAGACATTAATTTAAATTAATTGTGAATTTTATTAACATTAAATCGTCCTCCTCCCATTTTCACCTCAAAATTTTGGGGAAGCTGTGCCTCCCCCGACGACCCGCCACTGTAAAAGACCAACAGCTATGATATTTAAAGCGTACAAAAGTGTATTGGCTACAACTAGACAGCAAATGCTAAGACTCTTCTCTGCTCTTTATACACACAAAAACATTAGCCTTTATAGACAGCATTTATTGAGTAAAGAAAACGCTGTACTTATTCAAACATCAGTTCTTTATTTAGCCTTGCACTGCAAAGAAGTAGACGTCTGTCTTCAAACTGCGCGTCGCAGCGCTTCATTCTGAATGGAGGCGGGGTGGAGTTATGAGGTTTGACTGACAGTTTGAAGATCCAATGGCGTGTTTAGTCACAAGCTCTATAAAATGCTTTTCCATAACAATGACCAATAGCACTGATTTAAAATAATAACGAAATATAAGAGATAAGGAAGTTTTTGATAATCTTCCACGGCACGCCCGACAACAGTGGTTAGGAAACACTGTTTTAACATGAATTTATATTTAAGTCGGTGATTCCTCTGCGTACCACTAGAGGGAGCCCACGTACCACACTTTGAGAATCAGTGAGTTAAACCATTGCGTCACAAAAAGATTCATTGTTTCCAAGTGCTCCAATCGGAGCGCGTATCACGAGTCATTTGATTCATATCGGAACTTCGAATCAAGCGGGTTCGCGAATCATTACACGAATTGACAAATTCGTGATTCGCACTCCGAAGTCCCGATCTGAAATGATGGATCGCGAATCATTTGATTCAATCGGAACTTTGGAGCGGATTTGCGAATCTTTTGATTCAGATCGGAACTTCGGCGTACGTATCACGAGTCATTTGATTCATATCAGAACTTCGAATAGAGTAGGTTCGCAAATCATTTCACGAATTGACAGATTCGTGATTCGCGCTCCAAAGTCCCAATCTGAAATGATGGATCGCAGATTATTTGATTCAGATCAGAACTTCGAATTGAGCAGGTTCGCGAATCATTTCGCAAATTGACAGATTCGTGGATTCGCACTCCGAAGTCCCGGGCTGTGTTCCAGTTCACTTTAAGACACGCACTCACGAACTTCCCTAAGCACTTCCCCTCGGGGAATATCCACTGCCATTTTTACGTGCATTCCACTTCGTCAAGTGGGCGAAGGAAGTTTACATGGACATACCCTCGACCCCTCGATTTTGACCGAGGGAGCGAGTCTGCTTCATATGCACACTTCAGGCTGCTCTATAGACCACAATGCAACACGACTATGACGTCATCTCAGATCGCATTTAATTTATCCCCACCCCAAACAACGCTATAATATATAAATGATTTTTTTTGTTAACATTTATAACAGCCCAAGCATACCTATATACATATTGAATGCTGCACCAAAACAAATTCGTAAGGGGAAATGTAAACAATAAACCAACTGAATAGCGGATTCTAAGTGATCAAGGGCTTAGGACGTTCCAGTTCAGCCCATTCCAAGGATTCCACCAGAAGTGGGCACTTATGCAACGTAATCAATGACGTACAACCGAGTGAACGAGACGGAGGGATGTTAGCGAGTGAAGGGCATAATAAAGTGAACTGGAACGCAGCCCTGATCTGAAATGATGGTTCGCAAATAATTTGATTCAGATCGGAACTTCGGAGCGGATTTGCGAATCTTTTGATTCAGATCGGAGCTTCGGAGTGGATTTGCGAATCTTTTGATTCAGATCGGAGCTTCGGAGTGGATTTGCGAATCTTTTGATTCAGATCGGAGCTTCGGAGCGCATATCACAAGTCATTTGATTCATATCTGAACTTCGAATCGATCGGGTTCGAGAATAATTTCACGAATCGACAGATTCGGGATTCACGCTCCGAAGTCCCGATCAGAAATGATGGATCGCAAATAATTTTTTTGTCATCAGAATCATCAGATTATTGTTTATGTATCTGAAATTTAGCTAGCAGGAAACACAAGGTATATTTTGCTGTATTCTCTTTTGAGTAGTCAAACAATCCAAAGAAAACATCTTTAATCAGAATAAGAACGAGATTTGTTCACAAACACACAAGGAGTCTGTGTTTTTTAGGAGCTCTTGGTACAAACAGACATACATTGTGATGCAGGTGTTTGAGCATCACGGAGAATCACCTGAGACATTAGCTGGAGTCTGTGTGATCCTGTGCTGAAGAAATGCTCGGTGAGTAATGATACTGATGAATGATGTTTCTCTCTGTCTCTCAGATGAACGGGATGGACGGAGACGTGGAGTATGAGGAGATCACACTGGAGAGGGTTAGAGACGTCTCTTCCTTTCAGCTCTTCTCAAATGCATCATATGAGAGCGCTAGTGCATGAGCATTGTGTGTGTGTGTGTGTGTGTGTGAGTGTGAGTGTGTGTGTGTGTGTGTGTGTAGGGTAACTCCGGCCTGGGCTTCAGTATCGCCGGTGGGACTGATAACCCTCACATAGGAGACGATCCCAGTATCTTCATCACTAAGATCATCCCAGGAGGAGCCGCGGCGCAGGACGGACGGCTCAGGTACAGAACACACACCTGCGGCTTTATGTCAAACCTGTTTTTGATCAGGATCTATATTTGATTTCTGGCCTGAAGGTCACAAAGAAACGTACAGGTCACATTTCACCCCAAACAAATCATGAATTAAATAGTTAACAGATTAATAAATATTATTTATTTATTTATAAATAAATGAAGAGAAAAGAAAATTAAGTCTATTTCTTTGCAATACCTTTAATTGTTACATAAATAATGTTACAAAAATAGGCATTTTCTTTAAGCTAAATATTCTAAAATTTTTCACTTTATATTTATTGATTTATTAATTAGACTATCTATTATATTTAATTAAAACCAGCACACATAATATTCACTATAACAGATACTAAGTGTATTTTCAGTTGTATTTTATACTGAATATACTACTTCATGATTTTATCAGCTAATGGAAATTAAATTACATTTTTTTAAAATATTGGAGTATGTTTTACAAAAAAAAATTTTTCAGTCTTTCTAAAATTTTCGCACTTGATAATGTGCTACTTGATGATTTTTTCTTTATTAGCATTTTCCTCATTATCAGTTACTTAGTTAGTTTAAAGCAACAAGCCCCATGAAGCCGTAATTTACAACAGCTTCGAACGCGGCTCAGCCAATCAGAATCAATCAGAAAGAGTTAATAATTTATTAACCCTTTCCCCGCCATTGACGAATTATCTCGTCTTTTAGAAGAAAACACTTCCCTGCCAAAGATTAGTTTTTACTGACGAATTATCTCGTCTTTTAGAAGAAAACACTTCCCCGCCAAAGATTAGTTTTTACGGCTTTCCGTGTTTTCACTGTTATACACTAGGGGGCGCTATTACGCATCTTCTGAAGGAGTACAAAACCTCCCGAACAAAAACACACGTGAACAGGACGGAGAAACGAGCCATCTCTTATGTTAACAGATGCTTATGAAAATCATCAGCAATAGACAGCATATAAATGAAAACTGCATGATGTTACAGAGTGAAATGTTGATGCAGGACGTGGTATATGTCTGTGCAAGCTTTGGAGGTGAAGTGATTTACAGGATTTATGCTTTGATAATCGTACTAAATATTATACTTCAAAATTTCATGTTTTACTTGCCGATTCTTTGTAATTATTTATAAAACTTTACTAGCGGTTTCTGAGTGAAAATGGTTTCAATGTGAATCCTTGACCATTTGTTTTTCAGTGTAATGAAACAGTGTGGTGTTTGTAGAAGTGTCTAGTTTTGGGCCGGACGTGTTCTCAGGATCAGTGAGTGTAACCCGTCTGTGTTTCAGGGTGAACGACAGCATTCTGTTCGTGAATGACGTGGATGTGCGTGAGGTCACTCACAGTTTAGCGGTGGAGGCGCTGAAGGAGGCGGGGCCGATCGTGCGGCTCTATGTGCTGCGACACAAACCGCCTGCGGAGAACATCACAGAGCTGAAGCTCATCAAGGGCCCTAAAGGTGCGTGAGCGAGAGGGCGGGAGGGAGGGGGCGGGGCTGACTTTCAGCTCTTCTGATTGGCTGAGCCTCTGCCGCAGGTCTGGGCTTCAGCATCGCGGGCGGCGTGGGGAACCAACACGTCCCCGCAGACAACAGCATCTACGTCACCAAGATCATTGAAGGAGGAGCCGCGCATAGAGACGGACGACTGCAGATCGGAGACAAAATCCTCGCTGTGAGTTTGAACATCCGAGATCAGGATGAGTTTGTTTCTTCATCAGGTTTGTAGAAATGTAGCACTGCATCAGTGTCTCAGCAATGGATGCTCTGCAGTGAATGGGTAACTCTTCCTCCAGTGAAAAAGTGTTCTGGTGTGAATCAGGAGAGAAATCTGCACAGATCAAGCAGCGTTTAAACAGCTCTAAACACATATGTGGCTGGATTCTGATGCGAGAGACGACAGCAGATGCACTTTTTCACTGGAGGAAGAGTTATTATGGATTATGGACTCCAGAAGTGACAAAACATTAAAAGTTAAAAATGTCTTAATCATGGATTTGTAGCTTTTATATCTCTGAGGTCCACTAATTCCTGGGTAAAACACATCTTATGATAATCATGGATGTTCAGTGATGCTGGTTTTATCATGACACTGATCTACAGTGTGTGTGTGTGTTTGTGTGTGTGTGTGTGTGTGCGCGCGCGCACGCACACTCGTGTGTGTGTGTGTGTGTGTTCTGAAT